TTGGGACATGGAAAATCAGGAAATGAAAGTGAAAAAAAATATATATGTATATATATATATATATGTATATATCTAACAATGGACACCTGTGATTTTTTTTTTCATAATGATTCAAGTACAATGTATTATGCGCACTTGGACCTCACGGCCCAACGGTCATAGGTCGATTTGTAAAATGCATCTCTCCCAGCCCGAGGGTTGAGGTTCGATTCCTCCCTCCCTCATAATTATAACCTTGTTAAAAAAAAATAAAGCACAATGTTTTATGTAAACGGGGTTTATGTTGTATTGTATAGAATTAATGCATTATAAAAGTGCAATCAGGTTATAAATTTATTAAAATATTTTTAATAAAATTATTTGTTTTATTATTTTATTAAAACCATTTTAATAAACACTCTTAACATACGATTCATTTTGTAAAGCATTTTCTTGTATGCAAAATGTTTCTATATAATGTGATGCGGAAGCTCACATAATTTTCATGTCATTAATTTTTTTTTATATGGCAAGGCATGAGTTTGTAGGTATCCATTTATTTAAAATTTCTTCATATTATATAAGAATGTTATATTTGAAGTATTACTTCAAAAAAAAAAAAACTTTAATTCTTGAATAAAGGTTTTTTTAATAAGGTAATTATATTACAACTACATGTTAGAAAATAGGGATTAACTTTAGTGGTCATATTCAAAGTTAGAATTAAGGTACCACATCATTGCACTCTTACTACTAGCACACAAACTAATTGACAATTCTTGAATAAAAGTTGACATAATTTATCTTTATTATGTGATAAGTTTTATGTATCATATCATAAGATTCTCATGCCATATCAAAGGTTTTGTATCTTAAAAACTCCTAAGGCATGTTTATTATAATCACAAGAAAATTTTTAGGGATATTGGTAAAGCAATAATTAAAAATTTTCACTCTTGAAATTAAACTAAGTAGCACTCAATACTCTGCACATGCTCAATATGGAAAAAAATCTTATTAACGGTACTATTTTCTTGCAAACAGAAAAAAAAAAAAATCATGTTTTTCAATTTGGATTACACATTAAAAAACTAGTTTACATATTAAAATTATCAAAGTACCTTTAATAAATTAGTATGCAAAAAGTATTATTAAGGATATTTTTATAAATTTGTAGTTTTACAGTATACTTTTTGTGTATTTCAGATTGAAAAACACATTTTTCATAAAAAAACAAAATTAAATGCTGCAATATCCTAATGTTTAGAATATGTTGATTCATTAAGCACATTTGATAAAATTAAATGCCAAGACATCCTCATAAATTAATATTCATTTAAATTGTTTTACTATCATTCATAGAAGTGTTTGTAGTAAAAAAATTTAAAATTAAATATAAGTACATCCGAATTTTTACCCTTTTTTTTAATATACCAGTGGTTTTTCGGAAAAAATCGAAACCTTTCAAAGCAGAAATGAAATTTGCTTATCGCAAAATTTTGTAGGACTCTTATTTCCAACCGAAAAATAAAAAACTACCCCGCAGCCAGCAGCCCAGCACGAAAATTCAAAATTCAAATTCGCGCTCCAACGGTCATATTTCCTTAGGGTTTCTTCAACACTTCTCTTCGCCAAATAAGTATATATATAGATTGATAATCCTTGCTGCTTCCATCGGCGACACCAACAATCTTGTTGATTTCATCTCCGATTAGTTCTTCTACCCCCAATTTGCGTTCAACCCAACAGCAATGGAAGCAATGGATTTCCACAGCCTCACCAGGAAAGAGCTCCAGACTCTCTGCAAGAAGAACAAGATTCCAGCTAACATCACCAATGTCGCCATGGCCGATGCTCTCAAAGCTCTTGAGATCGTAAGTTTCACCTTCTTTTTCTTTCAATTGCTCTTGATATTCTGTTTCTTGTTGATGGAAATTGTCCCCCAAATCTGTTAAACCTTTGATCCAATTGCAATTTGATAACTATATTAGAACCCTATTGATTGAGCTTCTGAATAATTTTAAAGCCCTAATTTCTTATCGCAAATCTGTTTTTGTTTTCTTAGAGTTTATTTTGTAGAATAAGAGAAGCTAGATCTGCAATTGATGATCATTTCATATCATTTCTTTGATTCAACATTTTGTGCTGAAATTCCTTTGTTCGATTGTATTGAAATCTTTGGAAAATCCGGTTTCTTTTGATTTGTAATGTTTCAAGAAGCAAACAAGAAATCTTGGGGCACTTGAGTAATTTACATTTTGTGAATCAGGTTGATGGTCTTGACGAGATCACAAATCAATCATCGGAAGTCCCCCGTACTGCAAATAGGACTTCTACTCGAAGAAGACCCACCAAATCAGAAGCCGGGAGCACTCAACCGACAACTCGCACTCGCTGTGTATCCAGAAGGGCTATTGCTGGGGAACTTGATCAAGAGAGCCTGATTGAGACGCTGGCTGAGCCTACCTCTGAGAGAAGGGCACCAGTAGTGACAGATGTTGTGGAAGAGGAGATGGATTCGCTTGATACTCCAGCTGTTCAGCTGAGTGGCCGCAGAAGAGTGCCACAGGGTTCTACAAGGAGAAAAGAGGAGACCCAGACAAAAGAGTCAGCACAGCGCGTCTATGGTACTAGGCGGTCAGTACGGTTGTTGGAGAAGAGCTTGGCTAACTTGAATTTGATAGAGCCTAAGAAAGCTGATGAAATAGCTGGAGAGAAGGATGGTAAGTCTGATTTGTGTTTATGTTATTAGCCGTAATCTTTTAATAAGTTATAGCCCTAAGGGTTGACCCTTCTTTATGGGGAACTTAATTGTGCGGTCACTCTTTGGAGATTGAGGCAGTATAGAAGAAGATAAGAACTGAAGCTTGGTTTAATCTTTTATGTATTGGTTTAACAGACATTGGTCATGGGTTTGTTTTTGCAGAATTGCAACGAAATTTAAGTGAATCATTGGATAAGGAAGGCGGCATCATTGAAGATGTCCAGGAGATTAGTGAAGATGTTAACAGTGGAGCAGACAAGTGTTTGGTGAAGCACGCAGCAATATCTGAGGAATCTGATAACTTGGATGATGTTTCAGCTATAGATACTCAAAATGAAGCCCCTAGTCAGAAGGCTGACGAATCTAACGTTCAGTTGGATAATGTTCCAGTTTTAGATGCAAAAAGTGAAACCCCTACTCACAGGATTTCTGAGTCTGATATTGATATGATTAAAATTTCAGCTGCATGTGGGAAATATGAAGCCCATAGTCTGAAGATTGATGAATCTAATGCTCATTTGGTTGAAAATTCAGAGAAAGCAGCAGAGATGGATGATGAAATCATAGATGAAAAAGGTATGTAGCTGAATGATGGGTCGAATCATCTGTCTAATTTATGATAGGATGGTTTTGTGAGTGATATATTTTAAGCAAGCAATGTTTTTTACCTTACTGTGCTAAATCAGTTGATTTATTTGCTGTTGAAGTCTCTGACAATGGTCTAGAAGAGGCCGTGAATGATGATGCTGCTGTTGAAGTCTCTGAACAAGTTCTAGAAGAGGCCACAAATGAAGATGTTGCTGTTGAAATCTCAGTTGATTCATTTTCTGTTGAAGTCTCTGATGAATCTAATGCTCAGTTGGGTGAAAATCCAGATAATGCGATTGATGAAACCATAGATGAAAAAGGTACCTCCCTGAATTAAGGGTGCAATCAATCATCGGTCTAATTTATGATAAGATGGTTTTCGCTAGTGATGTGTTTTAAGCAAGTTATGTTTTTATCTTGCAGGATCTAAAAAAGATGCTATCACTGAAGACTCTGACAAAAGTGACAATTCAACTGTGGATGTAGTAGCCGAAGGAAACACAGACCCCAATCCTTGTGGTGCTAAATCAGGTGATTTACTTGCCGTTGAAGTGTCTAACAAAGTTCATGAATTGGAAGAACAGGTAGCAGATGTACAAGAAAGCACTGAAGTTGGTGAGGCTGCTTCGGCTTATCTCTTGAAGGAGAAGGAAAATACTGAAGAACTTGTCAAGATTGAAACAAAAGAATTGGGTTCGGAGTTTTCTTCTGACTCTGAAAACTCTGATGATTATCTAGATCAAGATCTCGATGGGTCTGATGT